TGAGGGGACTAGAATTACCAGAAGTCTGAGTTTGATGAATTTCAAGAGGAAAAAATCAATTTTTTGAAAAAGCATGTTGGAATATTTCTTGTCTTTGAATTTCAGTCACTAAAAAATGCAGTGCACAAATTTCAATGTGATTAAAATTTCAAAATGACATAGTGACCTTTTAAATATTCAATGTTTAAGTCGCATTATTTGTTCCATCAGATTTGTAATTTTAATACTTCCATATTTACTTACATTTAGGACATAGGCCTTACAATTTGCACAGTTATTCTTTTTGTTGAAAAGGTGAAAACAAACTAGACATTGACAATGGATCAGCAACAAGGGGAGAGGAGCAGTTCATACAGACTCAGAGAGACAGGTGAAACACATGAGAAAGGGGCAGACAATCAACAGGGGAACAGGAAGTCAAACAAAACCACAAGGAAAAAAGTCAAAATAAAACCAAGTAAATAACAAAACACTATGACAGCGTTCCAAAATCATTTACAAAATAAGACACTAGGCTTTCAGTGATGTCTTGAATACATTTTTATTTAACTTTCCATGGGCTATTTATGGGCTCTCTATGGCTTCTCTCTGGGCTCTCTGTGGCCTCTATCTGGGCTCTCTGTGGCCTCTCTATGGGCTCTCTGTGGCCTCTCTCTGGGCTCTCTGTGGCCTCTCTATGGGCTCTCTGTGGCCTCTCACTGGTCAGTGTGGCTGTATCGACGCTGGTGTGCGTTAGCAGCACTTTTTGTTCTGAAGGGCATTTTGCAGACTTTGCACTCAAAGGGTTTCTCTCCCGTGTGGATGAGTTTGTGGTCCCTGAGATGTAATTTCAGATAAATAGACCTCCCACAGACGTCACAGGGAAAGGGTCTCTCTCCGGAGTGGTAGCGTGTGTGAATTTTTAAATAAGACTTGGACCAAATCCTTTTTCCACAGTTGTCGCAGAGGTACCTTCGCTCTGCACGGTCATTTGCCTCTCCTCTTTCGCTTCTGTCACTGAGAGATGTCGCGATGGTTGGCAGCTGCCATCCATCATTCTCTGTGTTTAATGATTCCTCGTGGAGAACCATCTCGTTCTCTTGAATTAAGTCATCCACAGGTTCCTCCTTGATCTTCACAGAGGTCCTGTTACTGTCATCGCTGGGTCTGAGCACAAACTCCTGCTCCTGTGTCGAATGAGGTGCTACTGGCTCATTCCCATCTGTGGAGAGAGACACACACACACAAATGTTTCAGACTAGACTGATAAACGACAGTAATGGGTACAAAAAGTAACGTGAGTAGAGATTTTGCTAGAATGGTCGTGCTAGTTGGTTGCAGCTGCTTTCAAGACTCAAACAAAATTGCGGTATGGATGGTTGAACGGCTACCAAACACTCTGATTACTTTCGCCATCAGAGTGTAGAAGGAGAGAGTGTATTCTTAGGATGTCTGCTGGAGACATTTTAATCTATTAATGAATAAGACTAACAGGACATTTCCCATTCAGGATGAGAGGACTAGATTTACCCAAAGTCTGAGTTTGATGAATTTCAAGAGGAAAAAATCTATTCACATGGGACTAGAAACACAGATAAGTCCCATAAGAATTACATTTAAAATGTTGGCAGATGTTTTGTGTAGCATCATAAAAATATGATGCTGCACATTTTTTTAATTGAGGTTGATTTTTTCCATTTGAACTTTTTAACCATGAAAAAGCAAATATTTCTGTCTTTAAATTTCATTCACACAAAATGCAGTGCACAAATGTCAATGTCTTTTAAATATTCAATATGGTTTTTTTTTGTGCCCTCAAATTCAATGCAGTGTGAAATTCAATGAAAAAGAAAAAAGACGCATCATTTGTTCCATCAGATGTTTAATTTTTAATCTTTCATATTTACTTACATTTATGATGATTTCTCGTGGTTTCCTCCTGGAGAACCATCTCGTTCTCTTGAATTAAGTCATCCACAGGTTCCTCCTTGATCTTCACAGAGGTCCTGTTACTGTCATCGCTGGGTCTGAGCACAAACTCCTGCTCCTGTGTCGAATGAGGTGCTACTGGCTCAGTCCCGTCTGTGGAGAGACACACACACACAAATGTTTCAGACTAGACTGATAAACGACAGCAATGGGTACAAAAAGTAACGTGAGTAGAGATTGTGCTAGAATGGTCGTGCTAGTTGGTTGCAGCTGCTTTACAGACTCAAACAACATTGCGGTATGGATGGTTGAGAATAGCCTTTCGCCATCAGAGTGTAGAAGGAGAGAGTGTGTTCTTAGGATGTCTGCTGGAGACATTTTAATCCATTAATAAACAAGACTCAATTAAGGAAATGGGTGGAGTCCTGTTAGAGCCTGCTCTCCGTCTGCTTGGTTGGAATGAAAACCTGCAGCCACATCGGCTCTTGAGGACAAGTTTGGACACCCCTGAAGGTCTAGGGTTAGCTGAGTATATATATCGTTATACTACATTTTGTCAAATAGACACAACCTTTTCTGTTCTTAACGCAAGAACTCCCAGAGCTGTCAATTTGACTGCCTTTAGATTGGCATTTGTTTTACTCACCGTATGTAATTTTTTTATCTTCATAACTTTGGGTATTTTTCTGTTTCTATACGTAGTTTATTTCTGTCCTCATTTTTTTGTTTACTTTTAAATGAGAGTAGTTCCTCCGGAGTAGAGCTTGTGCTAGTTACCATAGCAACTTAATATTGCTTCAGTTAGCATTTGGTAGCCGTTCAACAAATAGTTTTTTGCTCTACTTCAAGTTATATTAACCAGTTTTAGCACTTAGTAAAAGTGAGTAACGGTAAATAAAACTTTTACTTTTACTTTCTGTCAAAAAACACAACATTTTTGGAGACATTTCTCAGAATTCTATCGGTTTGAATGAGAGCAGTTAAAATTGCGACTCTTGGAGTCCTAGTGTTAAACAGATAGATTGATACGTTTATCCCCTGTAGGATAAATTAAAATGTCCAGCAGCAGAAACACATCCATACATAAAAGAGAATCAGACCTGAGGTTGGGCTCAGAAACTGTTGTTCTCCTCGTGACTGCGCTCTCTCTAGAGACCTCTCCACCAGCCCCAGAATGTGCTGCTCCAATGAGGACAAAGTGTCCTGCAGATGGGACTTCAGCAGATTCAGCCTTTGCTCCTTCAAAGACACCATTGTTGAGGAAACGTTTGGGAAAAGATGAGTGGTAAACTTAGATAAAATCCAATGTAAATCTTTCAGATGCAAAGACACTTTAAGCGTCAACAATTTGAGGTTCCCAAGAGAGTTAGGTGCTCTGGTTCTGTTGCTATGGTGACTATGTTTTAGGAGCAGAAGAAATCAGGGCAAGGAAATGAATGGAGGAAGTGTTTGAGTTGTTTCTTGCCGTTGCAGGAGGGTCTAACAAAGTGGTGACTATCCAGGACATTTAAGGACACTTATGGACATGTATTGGTCATCTGACCCTTATGGACCAATGGCTCTATATGTTTTAATCATTGCATTAGGACTATTTACTTAATTTTGTTTTGAGGAGAGGAAATTACAGTATACTTCTTCTAACCCATCTAACAAATCTTCAGTTTAATCCCATAAGTGTTTTTGGCATCTCAAAACTTGTAACAAAAGAGAAGTTCTTTCCCCCCGGCTTTCTACAAGTGTCCAACATTCTGTCTGTTCCCCATGTTTTTTATCCAATGTGTTTCTACAGCTATTACAGGATTACGGCTTTGTTTTTGGGACAGAGAACATGACGATTACATCTGCAACTGCTGGGTTTAAGGGATAAGTCCTGACGATTGTATCTGTCAACAAAGATACAGAAAGAGTCTCCAGTGAGTCAGACCGCACACCGCCTCCATGCTTTGGGCAGCCATGCAAGACTTTTACGCTAATTAAAGTATTTATCGAAGGCTCTTGTGATACAGTGGATTCAAACTGACAGGACACATACAGTAATTGTAGAGTCGTCTTGTGACTTCATTAAAACAAATACACCTTTAGATTTGATAAGTTTCAGTCCTGCACTGCCACACAGCCTCAGTCCTTGTTCTACAATCTGATGGATCTGCAGCCTGTCCATTTGTGGGAGTGGTTCCTCGTCGATGCAGGAGGTTCTGAGGACAGTGATGATCCGGGACATTCATTAACATTTATGGACATAGGTCATTCCGCTCCTTTTGGACCAATGGCTCCTATGTGTTGTTGTATTTCCGGTGTTTGAACTGATTCTCTGATCGGTTGTTTGGGAATCCATAGCATTTTAAAGTCCTTTTGAGATTATGACTATATTCAAATGCATTGTGTTGAATTGGTATCCAGGAAACCATTTTACTAACACTAATATGTATAATAATACTACATGCTACTCATGCTACTCAGTGTTGGGGGTTACTTCGCTCAACCCCCAACACTGAGTGATAAAAAAGTTTTTGTGTGTTATCATTCATTATCTCTGTAATATGGACTAATCTGCCTGGGTTTCAGGAATCAGCTAGATAGATCTATAAATACTTTATTGATCCCCCAATGGACTAATTCACATGTCTAGCAGCAAAAACACATTGATTCATACAAACAAATAATCACATAAGTCTAAAAGTGACTAACTAATAGTAAGAAAGTGCAACAGCTTTTCAGGTCCTAGCAGCAGAGGTGGTGTAGCTGTTGGTGATGAGCTGCTTACTCTGGTTGATTTGTGCAGAGTCTGCTTGGTTTGGACCATTTTCTCTTCTCTCGTTCAGAGTGAAATTCTGAATGCTAAATAGCATTATAAGAAATCGCATTCCTGCAATGGATTTTCACTTGATCTGTTTGGTTTGGACCATGCATCCTCTCTGCTCTGGTCTGGATTAGTGTAAAACCATCACATCATCTGTATATGTGTACAAATGTACTCAGTCTTTTGCCACAAACAACAATAGATTTTTATGAGTTCATTCCAAACAACAGCATTCATTCCTGGTGCATAAATGTGAATGTTTTCTTAATGTACGCCTCTCCCATGTGTTCAGGGCGACCTCCGGCAGCTGAGTTTTGTGATGGGGGAACCTGATGCTGCGAGGGCCCAGTGTAGCCGGCCTCCTCCCCGCTGTGATGGGACCCTTCCCAAGCCTGTACGAACCTCTCGCACAGACAGAGACGGCATGAGGTTGGAGGTGAGGACAGGAGTGCACACATACATCACACAGACACACACACACACACACACACACACACGCACACACACACACACACACACACACACACACACACACACACACACACACACACACACACACACACACACAGACACACACACAGACACACACACACACACACACCTAAATCATGAGGCTGGAGGTGAGGACTGGAGTGCACCCATCCGTCACACACACAGCACATCTCAGACATAAAACATAGCTCCAGTGGGATTTAACACATCGTCCCAGTCAGACAAGTGAAGTTGACTTTAAGAAACCTGTAGGAACCCTGCTCTGAGATGAGATAAGAGAAATAAATGCACAGTGTCACCATATTGTCTTCGGTTCTGCGTCGCTGTTGTACAAATATGCCAGTCATATTTGATCCCAGACTTGGCTCATCTTCTTCAGGTGGTGGAAGGATGCGGGCCTTGTCTGTAACATCTAGAGAACAGAAGACTTTTTTTTTTTACACAAAAAGTGTTTTTTTTTTAAGCCAAAACTGAGAAACCTCAAGAGAAACCATGTATCTGGACCAGCACACTTGGACAATCTGCACAGCCCCTGATTCCAGTCAGGCTGTGAGCTGCTGAGACATGGACAAGACCATCGTCCTCTTTCGCATGGACATCATTTGGAAAAATTGGATTACACAATTTGGACATCATTTGGAACAATCTGGATTTCTGAATTTGGACATAATTTGGACTGAATTGGATTGCTGAATCTGGACACTGAAGCTGAAACGTGTGATTGAAAGACACGTCACAGAAGAATTCATGGCTCGACACAAATGCAGCCCGAAGAAACCAACACGGAGAAGTGGGAGAGACTGTTTTCAAAGCAATATCTTGAACCACCATCGACTGATGAAGTTTGGTATTTTACTGAAGATTGTTGACAAGTTTTATGAAAGATCTGAACATGTTTTATGAGTTTTCTGAGTTTTTGAAGTATTCCGAGTTCTGAGTTTTTTGAAGTACCGAGTGAAGTACCGAGTTTAAGTATTGAGTTATGATGTTATGTTGCTGTTTATCGATCCTGATGGTCACACGGGAATGTGTGACCAGAGGGGGGAATGTGAGATTTCATAACACTTTTAAGCAACTTTTGTTCAAGTTAAACTCATCATTCTATCAATGTGCAGAAGCCAGTACTTTTCCCTTGTTTTGTCTATCTGAAGGCCAAGCTACAAGCACACCGTGGAAGCTGCTGATTGGAGGTCTCCATGCCTCCGCTCTGTATAATACACTTGCATTCTGTGTTCGTGTTCGTGCTGTCTCTACCATCGACAATAAAACATGTCTTCTGTCTGAATTAAAGACGCGATCCCAGACTTGGCACATCTTCTTCAGGTGGTGGAAGGATGCGGGCCTTGTCTGTAACATCTAGTGAACAGAAGACTACTTTTTTTTTACACAAAAAGTGTTTTTTTTCAAGCCAAAACTGAGAAACCTCAAGAGAATGCATCTGGATCAGCACACATGGACAATCTGCACAGCCCCTGATTCCAGTCAGGCTGTGAGCTGCTGAGACATGGACAATACCATCGTCCTCTTTTGCATGGACATCATTTCGAACAATTGGATTACACAATTTGGACATAATTTGGAACAATCTGGATTTCTGAATTTGGACATAATTTGGACTGAATTGGATTGCTGAATCTGGACACTGAAGCTGAAACGTGTGATTGAAAGACACGTCACAGAAGAATCATGGCTCGACACAAATGCAGAAGCCTGAAGAATCAAAACAAAGAAGTGGGAGAGACTGTTTTCAAAGCAATATCTTGAACCACCATCGACTGATGAAGTTTGGTATTTTACTGAAGATTGTTGACAAGTTTTATGAAAGATCTTTGTTTTTGTTTTTGTTTTGGAGTTTTTGAAGTATTCCGAGTTCTGAGTTTTTTGAGGTACCGAGTGAAGTACCGAGTTTATGAGTTTTTGAAGTATTGAGAAATGATGTTATGTTGCTGTTTATCGATCCTGATGGTCACACGTGAATGTATGACCAGAGGGGGGAATGTGAGATTTCATAACACTTTGAAGCAACTTTTGTTAAAGTTAAACTCATCATTCTATCAATGTGCAGAAGCCAGTACTTTTCCCTTGTTTTGTCTATCTGAAGGCCAAGCTACATGGCACTGTGAAAGCTGCTGATTGGAGGTCTCCATGCCTCCGCTCTGTATAATACACTTGCATTCTGTTGTATCTGTGTTCGTGCTGTCTCTACCATCGACAATAAAACATGTCTTCTGTCTGAATTTATGACACGATCCCAGACTATGCCATCTTCTTCAGAACCATGCAACGATTTAAACATTAGGAGAGGTTTTATGACAACGCTGTAATTACTACAGAATTAAACAGAAATGTGTCAAACATGTGTATTTAACCAAACAACGGATCGTGTTTCAACTCGACTCAATTAAGATGTTCTCTCCCTTTGTTCTTGTCAAATCTATTAAAAATCACATCTATTTTGTGTGAATTGATGTGTTATTTACAACTCAGGAAGGATTATTGGACCAACCAATCCATGTTAAAAATTGTTGCGAATTACAGCAGGAGTTTTAGTTATGTTATTAACACATACAGGTGAAACTCGGGATATTAGAATTCAACATTAAGTGTGTGTGTGTGTGTGTGGATCAAGTAATTAACAGTCTAGGATCACAGTTATCTTGAGAACCCTAAACCTTTTCCCTATTCTTAATTTTAAACGTGTTCCTAGCCCTAAACTTAACCTTAGTCATAACCTCTAACCCTACTCTAGAGTTAGGTCAACAAACAACATTGAGATTGATCCTGGACTGGTAGGATCAGGTATTTTGCCTTGTGACTTGTACGGCTCTCACACTATCTCTTGTCTATGTTTTTTTATCCAGAATTTGCTGCTGTCCTCAAACGACCTAGAGGATCTCCTGGGGAATCCGAAGGCCTTCAGTCGGGCCGTAAGTACACACTGCAGTGGAAACACCTGGAGCTCACGGTGTCGCATCAAACATGAAACGGAGCCAGAGATGAGGTCCAGCTGCTGAACCTGGACTCACTCTGAGAATTTTCTTCAAAAGACTCAAATCTGACTGACAGATGTCTGCTGGTTTGGGTTTCTATAGCCTCCAACTCTTCTCTACCCCACTCGGCCCTACTCTACTCTACTCTACCCTACCTGGTTGTGTTTCTGTTACACTTTAGTATCTGGTACCGTATACTTGCAACCGACCCACAACACACCGTATCCGGGGATATTCCTCTGGTCACTCACTATCAGTTAGAACACCAGTACCAGCTCGGCCTGGACTAAGAGGGACTAAAAAGTACCTGGTGCCTGTTAAACAAGGCCAGTGGAAGCGCTCTCAATCGGGGTAGAGTAGGGCCAAGTAGAGTAGAGTACAGTACAGTACAGTAGAATATGGCTGATGAAAACTATTTTGGGGTTGCGTGAGGAGAACTGGGCAGACTATGGATTATGGATTGTGACAATGGCTAAATTATTTACATTTTCAGCAGGTTTTAGCAGACTATATGAACTAAACAGAAGCATGTATAGGAGAATAAGGCTACTGATTGGCTAATATAATGGTTGGGGGCGGGACAAACCTCGTGGGTCTCGACCTTGTGCACAGGCTCAGAAAGGTTTCAGGTGGTATTAAATATGTAGCACTTTGAGGTTTCCCTGAATGTATACAGTGCATTACAAGTATAATATTATTGATTGTTTTGAATCATGGCAGTTTAATATTCAGGCTGTAAGTCAATTGCAGCAGAGTCTGACCGAGAGCACGTTTTCAGCTTGGCCTGATTCCTGGATCCGTGTCAGGCTCCTAAGCAAACATTCAGAACTAAAAACACATACAGACTTTAAATGGCCAACAAATCATTGTTGGCCATTTAAAATGATAACAAGATTTACTTTGTCATCTCATATTTTAGAATCTGAAATAATATCTTCAGTACTTCGGAAAGGTTGAAACAAGTATGAAGGATTGATTATGCTATCGGCCTATGGAGTAAAAAAATCATTTTTTGTGTGAGATTTTCTAATTAGCGGCTGCAAACGCAGACAAGCGACAAGATTGTTTTTGAGAAGAACAAATGTATAGGAAAAACGTTTTGTTTTAAAAGACAGAGTCCTCAAGTTCTGTTTTTGATGATGGGATAGTGTTTTAAAATTGAGAAAAGCTAATTAAAAAAAGTTGAATTTGCATAATATGGTTCCTTTAAGACACATTGCCCAGCCCAACAGTCAAACAAAAACAATGAGGCAAAGACCTGAACTATTTTGACATCTGAGTATGCAAAGTAAATTGTGAAAGACTTGAATTTTATCTGAAAGCTCCATCTCCCTTTTTTTCAGATGCATCAAAGTCTGTCTTCAGATTGATTTACGCTGTTACAGTCGGTGCCTGGGGGTCCTTATCCAAACAGCTGATCGTCCTCTCTCTCTTTTCTGTCTTTGTAGGAACCAGTTCATCTGCCATCGCTTATTAATGATGTTATAATGACAGGGCAGGCTCTGTGCTTGCTCTGCGATTCACGACTGATGTACGAGGAGCGAAAACGTGATTAAAAAACACACAAACAGTAATACAAACGCAGAAGAAAGGCTGGGTTTCATGCCACGCCGCTTCTCTGTAATTTCTCCCCTTTGTTATTTACTGTGCTCCTCAGCCAGTCATTTGCATTCTTTGGTAATCCTTTGGGAAAATATAATTTGTATTTATAAAATCAGTGTTTTCCATCGTCTTGTGCTGACGATGAGGGAGGCAAAAGATTCAAGGACTGATTATCTTTTTCTCCTCAACCTTTTCTTCCGGTTTTTGCCTGTGGATCTAAACGATAACTTTCGTGTGGTATTATGGGCAGGCTTGTGGCTAATGTAAGCTGGAGTTCCAGTGCGAATGAAGGCATGGGATTGGTCAATTCACTGGATCATAACTGGATTTACAAAGATAGTTAAAAAATATAAACACCAGGATCACAGAGAGCGCTATACCACATTTTTTTAAAAGCCTATAATGGTGAGAGTGTACTTTTTTAATGTAAGTCATAATGAGCCAGAACCAGTTGGAGCAAAACTTTTTTTTCCATGAGTCCTACTCGATTAGGCTTCATTGAGCTATGGAGTTAGCAAAACCCAAAAGGTTTGACAAATCAGATGCCTTCATTCGAGGGGGAAACTCCAGCTTGCCTTAGTAACCCATTTTAGCAACATGTCAAATGACAAACATGACAAATTCAATTCAATTTATTTGTTTTTAGCCCTTAATCATGACAGCAGTTGTCATGGACTTTACAAAGTTGTTGATTCACCAATAAAAACACACACATCAGTGCCATTGGTTCATAGGGAGCAAGATGACCAATGTCCGTAAATCTCCTTTAATGTCCTGGATCATCACGGTTCTTAGATCGTCCTGCATCGACAAGAAATGACTGAACAATCCAGTGGTTAAAAAGGGGGAAACCTCTGGGAGGCCCATATTGAGAGGTCTATCCGCTCTCATGAACGGACAGGCTGTAGATCCAGGACTGAGGCTGTTGAACGCGGACTGAGGCTGTAGATCCAGGACTCAAGCTGTAGATAGACTCAATAAACAATGTGTAAATAATAGTTTTCCTTAGTGAGTTTCTGTTTTGGCTGCTTTATATTCTCGCCTCAGTTCGATCCAGCCTCTCGTCATCACAGTAAAACAATGCGTGTGCCCCACAGTTTATTTCTTCTTGCCCGGTTTTTCTCCCCCGGACATTAATCACTGTCCAGACCCGAGTGTTTAGAAGTCAAACTCACTTTCCTTATTTGTTGACGTTAAGTATTTCAGAGTACTTCCTTTAATTGCCCCAACGAGCGGTGGTTTTGGCGCCTGTTTAGACACGCAGCACAGATCCTGGTACTTTTGCTGTTTACATTGGCCTCACAGTGTAACACATGTCTGAAATAGACTCGCTGCCTAAAGGTCCCGGCTGGTTTTGATTTACCTCAAGTCTATGAAAAATGTTTGGACCAATCAATGCCTACTGTAGGGCTCTTTCTAGTAACATGCCTTTGCGCTGACGTGTGCGCTATCTCCACCGAAGCCACAAAACGGCACCAAAAGGTCTCTGCTGTTGTCTGCCAATACATCTGGTTCAGTTTTCAGCTCAGAGATATTTTAGAATGAATCTGTTCTTGCTCTATTTGTGTGTCTGGTTCACAGATTTGTCCAATTCCCAGTGCTTTGGCTGTAGGACTTTGTGTTTGTTGACCAGTTGGTATATGATGCTTTTGTTCCAGCAGTTGACATATTTTGTTACTGAAAATTTGGCAAATGTTTGGGATTAAAAAGACAAAAGGTATCTGTGTGCCTCAAACCAGCATTGCCAGACAGAGCCAGTATAACACATACAAACAGAAACGGGTGCAGAGGCCTTTCCCCAAGTGGAGTTCAAGTATAAGAAAAGATGCAATATCCTTTATTCCTCACACAGTGGGAAATTTCAATGTTGCTGTCATGGTTTAGATTTATTTCCTGTTTTATTTTGTAGTTTGTAAAATCTCTGTGTCTTCTTTGGTTGATCTTCCTGTGTGATTACCTGCCCTGCCCTCATGTGTATCACCTGTGTCTTGTTAGTCTTGTATTTAGCCCTGTGTGTTCCTTCACTCCCGGTTCCGTCATTGTCATTCCCAGTCTGTTTTAGTTCTGTCCTCGTTCCCTGTGGTTTTGGATTTGTTTTATCTTTTTATTAAACCATTATTTTTTGCAGTTTTGCATTTTGGGCCTCATTTGTCTTTCACCCACGTGACAGTTGCAGCGCACATACAGGACAGTAGCAAGAGCACACAGTGAGCACACAATATACTGTATACAATGTAAGTAGCTGCTATGTTTCTTAGCTAGCTGTAAATGCCTAAATTTCAATATATCGATATCTCTGTCTATATACGATATATAGTATCTCAGGGTCTCAGGGAAGGATGGATTGGTGTCACCTCTGCGGCTGCATGTATTTGACTGTTGTGGTGTTCGATCAGAGCTGTCTCAATTTACTCGTTATGTAATGTGCAATAATAGTATATGTTCCCACTCTCACTTCTGGTCATGAGCTTTTGGTAATGACCGAAAGGACGAGATGAGTTTCCTCTGCAGAGTGGCTGGCTATAAGGTGAGGAGCCCAGTCACTCAGGAAAGGCTCGAAGTAGAGCTGCTGCTTCTCCACGTGGAGAGGAGCCAGTTGAGGTGGCCCGGGTCTCTGTTTGGGATGCCTCCTGGACGCGTCCGTAGAGACAAGACCAGGGGAAGACCAAGGACACTATGTCTCTCAGCTGATCTGGAAACTGGGAAATGCTGCCCCCTTAAGATAAGATAAGATGTACTTTATTAATCTCACACAGGCATGGATAGAAACACTCAGGATTGTGCAAAAAGTAAATGTTCAGACAGGACAGGGCATATTATGTACAAAAGTGGTAATGAGCAGAAGTGTCAATAGTAGTGCAGGTTTTATCACGGCACCAGATTAAACAGAAGAAGATGGATGGATGAATTGGTAAAAACCCAGAGTGAGGCTTCAAGTTTTTTACATAAGAGAAGCAACAGTTGTTTGAAGTTTTATCACTGGAGAAACAATAGCTATTTCCCGCTGCTGCAGATGTGAAGAAACAAGTGGTTATTGCATTCGATCTCTGCTCATTATTGCAGTCACCACTCTGGACTTTCTCTCACATACAGTTTATTGTGTTAAAATAGAGTTTTCTGAGGGATGGTAGAATCAGTGAATTCAACTCAAATCAATTCTCAGATATTCTTTAAGCTGGGATACAAAACTTTCAAACCAGGCCGCCCTAATGCAGTTGGGGTTATATGACTAGTTTTCACATGCCTCTGTCACATTTTTAGATTTTTTTTATTAGACATAAAAAAGTGAAAAAATGTTTGCTAATAAGAACATTTTACTTAGAGAACTTTTGTTG